ATAAAAAAAATATATTATCTTACAAATAATACATAATCATATTAAAAATGTGATTTAAAAAGGAAATACATACATTTGATGAAATAGGACTTACTATATGTTTAGGCCAAGCAATGAAGGTTCGTAAGGCCTGCCGCACTAACTTCATCTTTTTCTTGGGCACAAAAACTCGAGCATCAACATCTCGAACCTCTTTAACCACCACTCTCACTAGGTTATGTGAAAAGGAAATAACGTGCATGGTTGAACCCCCTTCATGAGTTGTACTAATGGCCACTAAACGTGGTTGGACTGGATCGTCCTCAATCTACAACTCATACTGATTTGGTTGATTGGTGTTAGTGTCATCTTGTGAAGGAGTAACAATCGGGTCAGCACAACTACCCTTTGTACTAACACGTGCACCTGATGGAGCATCAACACCCATGCTTGGATGACTCTGTTGTGAGATAGCCATAGAAACTAATCTTGGGTCATCATATACATGCATGAACTCCTCCTGAACCCGTGCAATAATGGTCAGTGTCAATTTCTTTGTAAGATGCATCTCTAACTGAGTCATCTCTTGTTCACTGAAAGATGATGTAGTGTGGGTATGTGATGGTAGCCCAAAGTACTGTCGAATGCCTACACCAACTCCAACAGCACGAACGTGAAATATGTATAGAAACTTACAATCTTAAAAATAATAAACTAAGCCTCCTTAAACATCATTTGCCTGGATGGTTTTGTATGAGCTCTCTTTCACTTCTGATGATGTTTTGGAGGAGATGGTGGAGAAACATGCTCTTGGATTACTTCAGATGATGTTGCATCAGACTCTCGTAGCCTAACTTTCTCTACAATCATCTTCTTTATCAATAAATCATACCTACCACGAGACAGACGGTGGAGGGCTAGATTTTTTTTATTGTATTTCTTGTGCTTTTAATCTTTTTTTCATGTGAATAAATAAATATTAATATGGTACAAATACTTAATAAAGTATATACAAAATAAAACAAGTTATAATTATACTTCCCACTCTGCACATGGCCAAATTTGGACAAATTTCCTCCATGTCTCCTCATCAATGGCATGACGTTCACAAGGTGTTAATCCTTTTACATTCTCATCAAACATCCATTTAGTAGTTAACGTGGACTTAAATTTCCTCCACATTCTCATATTCTTCACTGTCTCCATAACCCAAATCAGATTTTTCAGTGTCTCCTCTACATGATTCCAAGAAGGATGTAAAATAGAAATTTTTTCTCTAGCAAATATACCCAATAGCTATTAAACTAAGTACTATGTGGACTTGACAACTTTCTAGTACGAGGATAAACTATGACATGTATCTTTTTCCCTAGTCATATGTGGCTTGTCTAGTCTTCTTTGGAGAAGACTCAATAACTTTTTGGGGATATGTTGGTGGAGATGTCATGTTCTTATTAATAGAAATAAAAATCAATTATATAAAGTCATGAACATAATTTAAATATAAATAAACATAAACATATCTTATAATTTATGTAAAAAAAATGGACAACTAATATATAAAATGTAGATATACATTACCTAAATAGCAAATTTTTTCCATATACCTTCGTCATAATAATGACGAATTGCATAAGCCAAATTTTCTTTAGAGTCTACAATGGTAGGTAGTAGACATAATTGTTAAAAAAGAGATGTCAATTATAAACTGTCATGATGATTTTATTAAAGATAAGAAAAATTAGATATGATATATCCATCAGAAAGTATCCGTAGGTAAATTATTTATTTATTATATTTTGAATTATTATTTATATTTGTCTAGAGGTCCCCCTCCCTTTTATACTATACTTTTATTATTTATTACATTTTGAATTATTATTTATCTAGAGGCCCCATTCAAATCCAGTACCTTAGAATTCAAGGTTGATACTCCAATCACTAAATTACTTAGATTTTTTTATAATAACTTACAAATAAATTATATTTATATACAAGTAAATGTATATCCGTGTAAATATATAAATATATAAATATAAATATATTTATATATTTATATATTTTGATATATTTTTTTTTATATTTTTGATACATTTATATATTTATATATTTTAAATATTTACCGACGGATATATCCGTCGATAACTAGTTATTAATTTACCAATAAATATATTCATCAGCTTTTTTCGTCGATAATCACTCAATAATTTTTCAGTCTGTAATTAATGATTTTCTTGTAGTATATATATACTTAGGATTTCATTATTTTATTATTATATATTATATAGATTTTTCTTTACTAGAGATATTCTTTTAAAAGAAAATATTTTATATATTCAAAGTCAACTGAAAGTGTTACTCAAATAAAGTCAACATATCAGATAGTCATGGCTATAATGGGTTTTATTTTAAACATTAAAATTTGTTTTATTTGTATACATTTTGTTTTATGATTGATATAAAATTGTGTAAAATATGATTGCTATAAATTAATCCAGAAAAATCAGTAGAATCTTCAAAGAGTTTATTGACGGGTATCACATATTATTTGAAGGGTTTAAAAAGATAATAAGAATTTCATAATTTTTTGTATCATTCAGAAAGAATTTCACAAAAGTTTTCTATTCTCATTTCATTGATTAAGACCGATTCAACGAAGTTTTATAGAGAAAAAGAAGAAAAAGATAAAGTACGTATCTATATGGATTATTCGAACAATGAGACAATAATTAGTGACAAAAGGTTTTTGATAAAGTAGAATATTATTTGTTAAAGTTGTTTTAAAATATTATCCAAAATTTGAAATCAAACCTAATTTTAGAAGATGTAATGCATGCGTTCAGTGACAGATCTTAACCATTGATCTTGGATGAGTCAAATAATATATTATTAATAAATAATAAATAAATTTAAAATGAAGTAAGAAGATGAAAGGGTGAAAGAATAAAATTATAAATATATATTTAAATATATTAAATGATTATTAAGTTTGAGGGAGACAAAATCATAAATTATATGAGAGTTATAAAGCTGAGGAGGGACTAGGAAGATAAAATTGTAAATATACAAGTAAATATATTAAATGCTCATTAAATTTGGGGGGTCACGGCCCCCTCAGCTCCCAAAAAGATCCTCCACCAATGTTGACGAAATTCTTAAACATTAATTTAGTATACCTAATATCTATACTAACATCCAATGCATAAAGCCTTTATTTTTAACAATAAAATATAACATTTCTAATTATTTTTAAATCTTAAAAATAAAATACAAATTTAATCTTTTAAGTTGTAAAATATTAAAATGTAAATAAAAAATATATCTCACTTTAGTGGAATTAATTCAAATATAAAATAAATTACTTATTGATCTATTAGTATAATTTTAAATTTAATATGTAAATATATGTTTTTTTAATATCAAAGTTAATCTTAAAAAAATTATAATAATAAATAAGGATCCTTATACATATAAATTTAAATTTTAATATAATAAAAAAAATATTGGAAAAAACATAAATTTATGAAAGAATATCAAAGCTAATTTTTTCTTTCTACTCCTTCCATTCAAAGACCCACAACGACATCTCTAAACTATGGTCTGCTGATTGCTTCACAGTGATGTCATATATGACATACATTCAAAGGGTTTTTATAATAATCATAATTATTTAAACTTATTTTTATAAAATAATTTATTATTTTTCTACTTTTCTCAATAAAAAACCTTTGACTTGATTATATTTCCCCCCAACTTATTATTATCTTGAAAATTTTACTTTCAATCTTGACACTTTTTACTTTTAAATTTTAAAAATAATATGAATTTCGTATTTTTATTATATTTTTTAATAATAACGAAGAGTTTTTAATCGTCATATTATGTGTGTGAAGAATTAAGACGTGAGCAATTATCAAAAAAATGAAATTTATCAATAATAACAAGTACAATTTATTATTATGTAATTATGTTAAATATGTATATCTATTTATATTTAAAAGCAGCAAAAAAAAAGTGTTAACACTGTCCTAATTGAATGCAGTGAAAATATTATAGAATTGCAAAATTCATTCTTTAACATACTCTGCTTAGTGGCCGCGAATTTGTTTTCCACTTTTTGCCGACTAAACCAGCTTAACGAATCCAATGACTCCAATAAGCAGCATCTATCTGGCACGTTTAAAACCAGTGACATTTCACAGAATATCACTACTTTAGATCAGAATTTATTTTTACAGCACTTTTCTGCATTCCTTGTTTCCAATATCTTTCCATATATTTTATGTTTATGCTTTTTATAAATGATTATTGATGTTTAATAAAATCAAAAGTGAAGCTGGTGGTGAGGTCTTCATTTTTCTTAGTCTGTATTGACCTGAATTGATTGGTTTCAACTTTCAATAAGGTGACCAAAATGGGGGAAAAGTAGCGTCCGTTTTAATTCCAATACTCCACAAAAGTATACCAGATATTCATAGCTTCACTTACACTAGTTTAATGTAAGACAGAAAGTGAGAAGAAAATGGAAAAGAGATTATCTTTTTATAAAAAATTTGAAAGAAAATAAATTGAAATATGCTAGTAAGACATCATAAATACCCTTTGTAAGAAAATATATAGAAATTCAGGTACTTAATGTTTTAAACTATCTTCTGTTTCCTATGCCTTCCATTTTTAAGAGATGATAAAATTAGTGCCACCATGTTTTTCCTTTCTTCTTTCTAAGGAATCAAAAGGACAAATAATATGAGAACACCAATAAATTTAAGAAAACTGCATGTAAATTTTGTTCTGATATAAAATAACCCAATCAAACCAAGTTACTCAATTTTCATTTTGTTCTTTTCAATTTGTTGTTCAAGTAGATCAGATGTTTATTTCTAACTAAAATATCATTAATTCTCTTTTTCACTATTCCCTATTTAATAATGATTATAATAATAATTTATCACAAATAATGAGATTAAGTAAGAATATTGTAGTCCAAATGCAATAATATTTTACTTCTATTAAAATATTCTTTAACCTGCATGCATTAACATTAAATATCAATAGCAGAATGGAGGTAATACTAACAAGAATAAAAAAAAAATTACCAACCAGAATACCTGGCCCCACCAACTACTGTACCACTACCTGATCCTGGTGGAAAGAAATAATGAGCAAATAATGGCAGGTGCAAACAATAGTTCATGCTTCCTACATGGTAAACACTGAAAAGAAGTTGCAGTGAACTAAGCTGAACACATAAACATATTATTGTTTGGCGACGTGACCCAAAATAATGATTCAAACCGGATGAAACAACAAAGTAATGGACTTCAAATATAATCGATATGCGTTCTATGGGAAAAATCAATAAATTAATAATCAATGTCTAAATGAATTTTCATGTTACAGAAAATTACAAATTGTATTGACAACAGATGGGTCAGGAGAAATGAGAATTATATAGCTTTCTATAATCCACCTTCATCAGTAAAGCTTACTCTGTTTGTTATCCCTCTTAAGCTGAACCTTTAATTTCTTACCACCTAATTGACAACCATTCATCGTACTAATGGCAGCTTGAGCAGCTTCTGGGGTATCGTAACTAACAAACCCTGCAAATGGGAGCTAATCAGATACAAGCTCCATCCAAAACTCATCAAATTCATTAACAGATCTAGCAGTCTTACCAAAACATTTGCTTACACCAGTTGCTTTATCAACAAAAATTTTGGCACTCAAAACTCTACCAAACTGTTGAAATGCATTTGCAAGCTCTTGGTCTCCATATTCTTGAGGTATGTGATAAATAAATAAATTGGCACCCGGTGGTCCTGAGAGAAATTAAAATAATGAAAAGGAATTCAACCATCAACGAACTAACATTTCATGCTGTGAGGAAAGACCTGGGAAAAAGTCTATTACAAATTTATACGCATGCATGCACGTCATGTATACACAGCATACACAAATAAAAGATATAGATAACAACAACCTTCAATCTGACCATTGGAACTTTTAGTGGCACCTGGTGATGAATAGTTGCTATTCCCGCCTCCAGGTGAAACGGAACCAAGAGAACCACTCACTGGCCTCGGACTTACAATTCCTCTGGGATATACCATTGGATGCTGCATACCTGGCATGGCAGGATAAGAGCCAATGTAACTTGCAGGAGGCGCAGGATAATTTCTAGGGTTCAAACTGTGACCATGATCGGGCCTCACTGCATTTACTTGGTTCATGTTCATATTATGAAAACCTGGTTGATTCTGCATTGGTGGAAAACGGTACGGCATGAGCCCAAAACCCCCAGGAGCCTATTAAGAAAACATGATTATTCAAACATATACCTCCATCAAGATGTTAGGCACGAGAAAAAACAAACATTAATCCATAAATGTAATAATATCTGATAAGGCGTCATGCTTATACGGAAGAAAAGTTCACTGAATTTTAGGGGGAAAAAATTGCAACGTATTCTGATAGCGCATTACAATAGAACTAACCTGATAACCGTATCCATTATATGGAGGAACATAACCCATTGGCAAGGCTCCATATAGTGAGGGTTGTTGAGGATCAGCATGTGGTACGTTAGAAACTTGGGACTGTGCTTTTTGAGCCCTTCGAGCTTGTCTTTCCTTTTCAGTATCTGCCCACTTAACAACCAAAGGAACACTTGAACCCTGTAGAAGGAAAGATAATCATCAGATTGCATTTGTCTGAATTTATATAATTATCGAGTTAGCAATTTCATTGACAATGTTCATTATGCATATGAGTAGCAAACAACTTATCCACCAGGAAAATTTTGTGCTAACATGGTAAAAAAAACACTACGTATCAACATGAATCTAGTACTTTATTAGTGGCTGTGGAAATGTAAATTTTAAGTAAATCCTATGCCAATTAATTTTAAATTAATGAGATGCACGTCTAACTCCACTAAGCTGTCATTTTGTAAGCGTGTTAGCTTCTGTATAGTTATCACACTAATTATTACCTATGTACACTAGTGTGTGTATAGCAATCCCATGTTCAGCTATATTCAGGTAGGACTCATTTAAATGCAAACATATCTTCAGCGTCACTGGCCAGGGCTTGAATTTTTTCTTTTTCCAAATTGGTGCTCCAGCAATAAAATCCGAGACACGATTAAATGTTCACATCCCTCACCAACTGGATTTCGTGGCTGAAAGCTGTTTGCAGGTCCAAAGTACCACAATCACCATTTACGCCTAAAATTGTAATTCAGTTTCAAAGCATGCAGTTTTCCGTTCAACCATATATTAAGAACCAGAAACATTTCCTGACTCTAAAACAACTCATAACGTGAAGAATGATTAATAATGTCCTATCAATTAAACGGAAGATCAGTCGGTGCTAATTTACAATTTAGACCACTGTATAAGCAAAATTGCAAATACTGCCTCCAAACTGGAAAGTATCATCATTTAGCTTACAATATAGTTCCATCACAAGATGTATTAAATCAATTTCTCTCATTTACTAATAACTATGATAAAGTAATCAATGAAAAATCCCTAAACATTCATAATTTGACACACGGCTTCCACTTGAACCAATAACCAAATAAATATATATTGTCAAATATTCATGTGATGGTTTTAACAAACACCAACCTCCATTGTATGCTTTCCATTGATTGCCTCAAGAGCAGCAACGGCCTGTTCTTTGGTTTCATACTTCAAAAATGCACATCCTACACAAAGGAATACAGCTACAATAAAGCTTTGCCATTAAGAAGCACCAAATCCCAAAAGAAATAAAGGATAGCTTGATTTGTAACATTAGGCACCTTTACTTGTCTGCTGAGAACCTCTTAAAATCTGTAAATCCTTTATTGTCCCATGCTTTGAGAAAAGATCAGAGACCTCATCTTCAGAAATATTCTTTGGAAGCATGCCAATAAAGAGTTTGTGTTCTGGACACAAAGACAACAGAATATTATTCACGAAGGAACAATGCACGTCTTAAAGTCAAAAGAGAAACTTCTCATTAAGTAAACAATGCATGATGACAAAGGAGTTGCTGAACAAAATATTTAACTACGACAATGAAGATAAATCATACCCAATCTTTCCAATTCACCATCTGCATACTTCACTTGCAACGGACTGGAAGCCTGAATTGGACACAAAAAATAGGATGCTTCCGAATCAGAAGGAGAATAGCATTATCGTCAGATCATAGTTTCTAAAGAGAGGATGTGAATAATGTCATCAATTGCAGTCATGTGGATTTCAGTCAATAATGGAAATATTTTAAGTTTTATTCAGCTTGTTATGCATGTTTTAATCACAACTATCTATAGACCAAAAATCAAACAGAATAGCAGAAACCCAGCTTGGATAATTACCTAATCAACCACCTGAAAGGGAGCATGGTACAAAAGGAACTGTTCCCAATAATAATATCAAAGATGCATAGAAGCAAGCTTTCTAAAATAGATGTCGTCAATTCATTATTAATGCTTATTTTTACTTTTTCAGTTTACAGATAACACAGCAAACATTCCCTAAATAATAAACACGTACTGCTTACCGGACCACACAACTCTGAAAACAAAATTGAACTATTTACGTATAATCTCGTAAATTTTTTGACAATTGCATGATTGACTTCAACTTCAGGTTGCTAAGTGCAAACCCTTCAACGACCAATTTTCCCGCTGTCCACTTAAATCAGCTTAACAAGCATATATCTCACGATGATAAAAACACACTATAAATAAATCTTATTTATATTTATTGCTATTATACCTCTCAAAGTTAACATGGATTGAGGCCTACCCTAATAATATTAGGTGCTTAGTTAAGCCTGATAGTGTTTGTAGGTTGCCCAAATAGCAAACATAGCAAGTGATAGATAGATAGAAAGATACAAATTGCTAAAAATAGAGAGATGTAGTGGGCAAATCAAGGGGTGGTGGTCAGCATCAGCGACTTTTATAGAAGCAGCAACTTATTCCACACTAGGATTCAAATTTCATGCCATCAAAACAATCAACTTCGAACATTCTCAAAAGCAAGCAATAACAACAAGAAGAACGAAGATGCGCGAACCCCACTCACCCCAGGAAGCGTTTTCTTGTTGTGACAGGCATTGACCGCCTTATCCGCTTCTTCCCTGGAGGGACAAATCACAAAGCAGCAACCTGCGACCAATCAACCACAAATCTGAAGCATGTCACAAGGCACATTTGAATTTGAATTGAAATTCAAATTTGAGTTGGAGTTGGAGCGGTTACTACCTCGGGAGGCACGAGAAACTTTGTCCCTGATGATGTTGACCTCGTCAACCAACGCGAACTCCTTGAACATTGCAAGCACTTCATCCTCCGTCATGTGTTTCGGCACTTGACCCACGAAGAGCTTCACACTCTCCTCGCTACTGGATTTACTCTCTTCCTTCACCTCCGCCATTAACAAGAAGAACCAGCAGCTTCTCTTCCTCTATGTATTTTTTTTCCCGTGAGTAACACTCTGTCTTGTGTTCCTTCCTCCGCTACGCTTCTGTCTCTAAAATCTTGGCCTGTAGCTTGGAAAAATTCTGCGCGCCTGTGACTATGCTCTATACGTGTCGTGTGATTTGGTTTGGATTGCTGTGGTCGCAGGGAAATACCAACAGGGAATGGGAAACGCAAACTTAGATCTTTCATAGATGGTAATAATATATAATTAATTTGAATTAGAATATAGGATTGTGATAATTAATGTACATTATTAATGCTAATGACGAATGGTTTGAGTAAAGGGCTGGAATGTGGGGAATTTTACGAAGATGCCACGAGGTACAGCTGTTGAGGAACTGGCCTTGTTGGTTCGTGGTGGTGGTAGTGCCGTAGTGGGTGCTGCTGGTGGGGTGGGTGCCCTTCATTCTTCAATCTTTCTTCTCACTCAACTTATAAATCAAACTTCTAATCTTATCTAATCTATATATTATGCAACCTCAATGCTAATCATTTTCTGCATTTGGTTGCCCATGGAATAATTTTATTTTTTTCAAGTTTTCTACCTAATGCTACTGTTCCTTACTGTTTAAACAATAATAAAAAATCATCACTTCTTTTGAGTTCTAGAAAAATAAATAACATAATTTCTTAGATTTTTTTTTAAGTGTTAATTTTAATTACCTTTGAGGCTTTAAAAAAGTCTGCTATCCTATTAAACATAATTAAAAATTAATTTTTTTACTTTAAACTCAAAGCAATCCAACTTGTAAACATGCCCACTAAATAATATGGTGTTTGAATTTTGAAAACACGTAAAAGACAAAATTGCCCATCCATCTTCAGCTCCGTTGATAACACGTTATTGATTAGGATAATTTTTTAAAAATATAATAATTTAGTTTAAGTCGAGTTTGGCAGAATGAGAACATGTCCCATCAGGCCGTAACCTTTTCTTATTTCACTAATCAAATTTAGTTTCAGATTAAACTGAATTAATGAGAAAAGAAGAGAGTGATAAATACCCCTATTTTTTATTTTTATTTTAACCCAACAAAAACTCATGCGAGTTCGAAAATAGACGTTGGAACTTGTCTTGTCAAGAAGCTCGTAACTTTGCTACAAAAATGCACACAGCAATACGCTGCTACAATGAATGAGTAATTTAGAGTGTACAAAACAAACCCTATAAATCTAAAGTACACTCAACACATTGCAAATTTTACTAATCATGAGCTGCACCCTAAGTTTGTCCTTTTATGCCAAACATGTTCCCTAATATTTTCTTTGGCTTAAAAAATTTGAAAATTTTAACTTTTAATTTTAATATTAAATTTTAACCACACAAATAACTAACTATTCCATTTGAAGAACTCATTCAGTGACATGAAGTTTGTGAAGGTTATGATGAACTAATGATAATGGTGGAAATCACAAAATACTCGTGGTCAAAAAAGTTGCTTATAGAGTAATGAGTGATAATGCTAATGATTGAAACATTGGTAATAAGCAAATTCAATGGTCAAATTATGATTCAAAAATTATTTTATTAGCAAAAAAACAAAAACAAAAATTAGTTTAAAAATTATGTTTGAACCAAATGCAACCGTATAATTAGTTATTGGTAAGTAATTGGATTAAATTTAGAATAAATTATAAATACACTAACTCTGAATAAATTATTCAACGAAGAACCACCACCGTATATTATAAAATTGTTTTCTCATGCACATGCACAATCATACTTACAACATTTTCGTATTGATTGATAATATAATTTATTTGTGCTTCAAATATATAGAAATTAGATTCTTTAAGATTATGTCAAGTAGGAAAAAAAATGAAAGATATTTTTACTAAGACATTATCTTGTGCTGGTAATTTAGACGATGATAGTAACAGAATTATTGGGATTATATTAGACTCTACATAAACGCCATCAATATCATTATTGAGATTAGATGCAGATGAAACTAGAGAGTACTAATGGTTTCATTCGTGAGTCAGAGGCCTTGTTAAGTGAAAATTACACGTAATAATAGCATTGTTAATCACTACGGGCGAAACCAAACTAAAGAAAGAAACTTCCTTAAAATCAAATGACTTGGTTGCAGCAAAAATTCCAATCAGGAATGTCTGTCACGTTATACCTACGAGTCTGTATCTTTACACAAATTCTCCAAAAATGTACTTACCCGCCAAAATCCCTAACAATTAAATAGTTCAGTAACCTTGAATACAAAACAAGTATTGGAGGTAGAAGCAAACACTATTTGAGAGATGAGAAAAATCATCTTCACATCCAAATCATCCATCCTTACAGAAACCGTCAACATTCAATACCATTTTGTTAATGCAATGGTGGTGTTAATATAGGGTGAAAGTACAACATCCTGAATCTCTATAACTGGTCAGGACCACCATGCAGTACATGGGGAAAGGGAAAAGAAAAGCATGACTACTGCATGCTAGAGGAATGAATCTATTAATATCGTTTGCATTATTGCAGTTCAAAAAATGGAATCTTGATCACCGGGCAACGGGCATTGCACCTCAGTTGATCGGTGCAAATAATGAGAATAGCTACCCAAATGAATTCCCCGAACTGGGAGGGATTTTGTTTGCAAAAGGATTAGTTCTTCAGCATTTCATTAATAATAGTGGTTAGTTGGTGCAGGCACTAGCTACCAGTGGATATTCCAGTCACTAGATTGCCTTCAATCCAACAAGTTTTCTCAGCTCCTCACATAATATAAATGTAATTGTGGTTTGTGGCCCTAATCTTGCAAAAATTGCAAAGCCCCTGAGACAAAAGGTACCGCATAAGTAAGCTAATACACAGACAGTAATTGTGATTTGTGATCATGTTCAACAAGTCATTAATTATAAAAGTTTTTAGATGATGTGAAACAAGGCTAAGGGCTAAGAATCATAAAAGAATGCTGACCAACATAAACTCACCCTTTGTAAAGTCCCCTTGGACCCTCACTAAGCAGTACCTGGTACCACACATATGAAATGCATTATATAACAGCAGTAATTTCATAGTGAATGCAGTTTTGTAGGCATAAATGTGTTGCATCCTGTTCATAGTTGGGGTTTATGAAAGCATTTCTTTATTATTATTATTATTATTATTACAAACTATTTTAATTTCATCCAACTTTGATTCTTTAAACCCATTCAGAGAAGTCGAGCCGAGAGAGAATCAATTTAGGACTTCTTCCTTTTTGTTGTTAAGTGTTTTTCACTCTTTCTTGAATAAGGTTCTTCATTATAGACATAGGAGGGAGGCCAGAATTTCGAAACCAAAATACAATGCAATCATTCATCTTAGACCTTTTGGGTATTATTACATAAGCTGTCAGCACACACTTTTCTCACACAAACAAGAATCAGGAAAGCCAAGTTATAGTTTATTTGAGGAATGCATGAACAAGCTACGATTTTACAGGATCCCAATATGCTAGCCAAAGAATCTTTCGCAAAAAGAGTTTAATGAAGGTAGCAATAGTATCAAATTACAACAACAGTATCAAGTTAAGCGGGGACTAATATACAGAGCCTCGTAAATAAATTGATTTATTGGTCAATTGCTTAATATTTCCAAACAACAACTATTTTAGATCTACAAGTATGACCTCCACCAGGGAATTTTTCTTTTCTATTTAACAAGTTACACCAAGGTGAATAATTAAAAAATCATGTTTCACAATTCCCTTTAGTCCATCACACCTGGCACTGGAATGTTAGGGAGTCGTTTCACATACACTATAATATTAAGCAACGTCCCATTTTGACAAAAAATGAGCTATTCTCTTTAAACCCTCCTACAATCAAGTAGTCATCATCATCATCATCACGTTAAAATGTCTGTTCTCTTTATATTGTTTCAGGGTTCAGCCAAAAGCTTGTGAAGAAGGTATGAACAATGATACATCTATATTGGACAACAACATAATCATATTTAATTGGGAAAAGAAGCATAAGACCGGTAGAAAAGACAAAATCAATACCTGGTATGCACAATGAAACCCCCCTTTATACATTCTAATTCCAGTGGCTTCTCGTTGCAGCATGAGACGTGTTTTAACCATATCTATGGGTGCAGTTACAAGGGTGCTCAGTGTGCCCGCAGTAGTGCTTGAGCTATACAAGGAACAAACCTTTATTACTTCAGCTAGGTCAGATAATGGAAAAAAAAAAAAAAAATTCAAAATAAAGATAAATTGTGAAGGGACAAGTTCAAATTAATCCAGAGTTCTATGGCGTGCCAATCTAGAAAAAAGACTGTTTCGACTTGTCAGATGAGCAAAACAGGTTAGGCAACTTCCATGAGATATGTAATTTAGTTTCAATGCAAAATGAAATCAATTCTAAAGCAAAATCTTTATTCAGATTATTTTTCTAAAGCTGACACCCATGATTTCGATCAATTTTCAGGCTTTAACAATACTCCATTTACTCTGAATCAGTTTGCATCAGGAAAGATGTAAAGAAAAATAAAATTAGCAGCAGCGTCATACATCAGATGTAGAGGAAATCCTTCTTCGAGAGATGTCCACCTTACTAAAATCTGCATAATAACAAAATCAAACGAATGATAAAAAGGTATTAAAAGGGTTGATAGTGAAGACGAAAGTGAATAAGGGGGAGAGAAACAGAAAAACAAAAATACAATTTAAAAGTTGACCTGCTTGGTTTCATCATATGTAGCCAGCTGGGATGCAGTCAAGACAGCTGCTCTGGCCATGGCAGGGCCCATCCCCTTCCACAAAGCTTTGATTCCCTCTTCAGATACAGTCCTTTGAAGCTCTGACATTGGTCCACTCTTTCTCATGTCTGGATTCATTTGCAAACGCACCTGATTGTGGGAATATGATTTTGAAGAAAAAGGGAAAGAAAAAATTAATTTAATACTAAATGATATGAGACCTCACCTTGAGAACTTCCATTGGATTGGTCAGTGCAGTTGCAATAGCACCAGCAAACATTCCCGAAGCAATTTTAACTAAAACATTGGAGGAGCCAAAAGCAAGATCACAGGCATACTTAGAGGGTTCATAAAGGCCCAAGCGGAGTCCTCCATAAACAACTGACCTTGTTAGTGCAGGTGTCAAACCTTGATACAAAGCCTTTGGTCCTTCGTTTTTCATCGCACTTAAAAATAATTTTCCCTGAACAAATGCTCAGCTGATAAAATTTGTGTATTATAATGTGATAACTAAGGTCTAAAGAGCAAAGGTGGTACTCAGCAAACTACCATTCCACTCAAAGGACCTTTCTGACCAACAAGTTGCATTTGTAGCCTTACTTTCAATACATCTGCATAGAACATAGAAACATGTTATATAGATATTTTTAATGATTCACTACTTCTCAACATATGCAAGGCCTCAATCTCATGTGATCACCACCAACTCAAAGATGAAATTTTCATTACATGCCACTTGTTAAGTATCAAGTATAGGTCCCCCAAAAGAATAGAATCAACACCTAATTTAATCCTCAAAAACATATATGCAATATCACATTGTTCTTTCATTCATAAATATAGCAAATCAGTCCTCAAGATATAAAGGTGCATAGACTCAAACAGTCTAACACAAAATAATAACGCTTATCCAGGTTAGTTAATCAATATTATCTGCACACTGTGTCATAGCACTTGTAACATACAGGATACCGTCCAGAATTATGAGTATTGTCGGTGAAAATAATTTCAACTATCGATGAGAAAATCGAGAAAGTGGATTCTAACAAATTCATATTTTTTTAAGCATGTAGGAATTTTATTTTAGACCATTCATTCTCAACATTGAGATCTTCATTTTGACAAACTCTATACCAACCTCACCAAAAAGCAGATCTCACTTTGAACAACCTTGAAACAACTATTTATCCTCTCATCAACAGTTACGATCCCTCACTTTTCCTACTAAATCTATCCAAATCCAATTTCTATATACATACAATGCCACATTTTGTGTAAGTCGATACTGTTGAATACAACTCAATTCTTTTATAGGATATACATAACATTAAAATTGGCTTTTAATGTCTCATTTTTGCCATCAATTTGGACCTTAAAATGAAATGAAATTGACCATTGAAGAACCAATCTGATGCCATGCATGCCTTCAGTATCGTCTCTAGCCAAAAGGAAACAGAAAAGTGGTTCTATATACTTATACACAGTTTACACTCAATAAATCAACAAATTCAAACAGCAAATCCGCGCATGAAAACCCAAGTTAATATCCAAACAGCCCTTAACATAATAACCATAAAGTAGTTTCAAGTGACACAGAGAGAATCAAAGCACCTAAAGGGTGAGTAATTGCAGTTGCAACCGCCACGGAAAGACCACTTGTAGCAAAGTGGTTGAAAACAGTGGAAGGTGACGCAGCCCAGTTCTGCTTCTCATCATTTCCGGCTCCTGGCACATTTTCTTCTCAATACCCATCATTCAAAATTACAACTTGATACTTGATAATGCAGAAGAAATGATGGGTACACGTTGTTCCATTTAAAAAAGAAAGAATTTATTCTATTCAATTTAATGGAAATGGGTCAAAGGAATAGAAGCAAACATAACCTGAAGGTGCCGAATTGTTGGAGCTAGAATTTCCAGGCATGTTGTAGCTTTTCTCCAGGTTACTGTTGATGTGTGAAAACTGAAAAGCTTTAACAGATCTTCCCTCTTTGATTCGTGATTCGAAGCTGGGCACATGGAAAACGAGGTGTAGAGAAACACCTACTCCTTGGGGTTCGGAGGAGGGAAGAAAATAACTAAACAAATAATATTCTTTTTTGTTAAAATTAGACAAATAATAAACGAATTAATTAACCATCCATTTATTTGAGAAAAATTACATTTATAGGAGGATGAAAATTTATTTCACATATTTAATCACTTCTATCAATTCATATATGTTTATTTTAAGTTTGTAACTTTATAATAATTATCCTGAAAATTATGTTCAGAATTATTAGCTTAGTTTGTTGAAGGTTTAAGTCAGAAACGTGTAGTTTTCCTTCAAAATTCTCTTTTCTTGTTCTTTACATTTGCTACCAGAACTTCCATATGAAGGTTTTGCTTTTTTAGAAGCAGCGGTCTTCTTGCTTTTTTAGAAGGTGCTAGTAATGCTTGTGTATGGGCTACCAGGATCAGTTTCGGAGCTGTTTCTGATGGACTAGGTAGAGGTCGTGGAAGCTACAGAGGAAGAGGCAGTCAAAGGCTTTGATAAAGTCATGATAGATGCCATAAGCTTGGGCATTTTCAATGGGAATGTTCAAGTGAAGAAGCTAACTATGTAGAGAACCAAGAGGAGATGTTATTAATGACATTTGTGAACATTGAAAAAGTTGATAGAGAAGATACATGATTTCTTGATTCCGGCTACAGTAATCATATGGGCAGAAAGAAGAAATATTTCATCGATTTTGATAAAATTTTTGCAGACACAGTGAAGCTTGGCAACAACACAAGCATGGTTGTCACTGGAAAGGGGAATATAAGGCTATAGGCGGAGGGAATCGTGCAAAAAATCACAGGAGTGTTTTATGTACCAGAGCTGAAGAATAATAAGTTGAGTATTGGGTAGTTGCAAGAAAAGGGGTTGACTATTCTATTTCAGAATGACAGATGCAAGGTGTATCATTCAGAGAAAGGATTGATCATGGATACAAAGATGTTAGTCAATCGAACATTTAAGCTATAAAGGCTTAAAGACACTTTGAGAGAAGAACATGGTAAATGGGCTACCAGAATTCAGGTCTCCTTCAAAGTTATGTGATGATTACTGACGGGAAAACAACGTAGAGCCTCATTTCCTAAGAAAAGTAATTGGAGAGCGACACAAATCCTTCAATTTATCCATGTCGATATATATGGACCACTCACACTCAATGCTAATAGTGAAAAGAGTTACCTAATTACTTTTATGATGATTTTAGTAGAAAAAGTAGGGTTTACTTTCTGGTAGAAAAGGAAGAAGCATTTGTTACTTTTAAAAATTTCAAAATTCATGTTTAACTATTATTGATCACGGAGGAGAGTTTATGTCACAAGAACTTACAAAATTTTATAATAATAATAATAATAGTATTAGAAGACAATTGACACTTGTTTACTCACCACAAGAAAATAGAGTTATTGAACGTAAAAATAAGATGATTATGAATATGATTTGAATGTTTTCTTTAAGGAAATTTCTTAAAAAAATTTGGCCTGAAGTTGTAAACTAGACTGTGCATGTTCTCAATTGAAGTCCAACATTTGCAATCAAAGATCATCGAGTTTCAGAAGAAGCTTGGAGTGGAGACAAACCTTATGTTAAGTATTTTAGAAATTTTGGTTGTCTTTCTCATGTTTATATTTATGATAAAAAGAGAACTAAGTTAGATGATAAGAGTCTAAAATGTGTATTGTTAGGAGTTAGTGATCAGTCAAAAGCATATAGACTCTATAATCCAATTTCATAAAAAAAATTATCATAAGTGGAGATGTTGTGTTTGATGAAAATAATTTTTGGGAATGGGATCAAAAATATGAGAAAGCAATTAATTGTGACTTAGACTGGAATGATCTTGAAAATGGAACTGACGAGCCTAGTTTTGAAGAAATGGAAGGAGAACCTACATCTGATGTTGATGAAAGAGAAAAGCATTCTTTGGACTCTTTGAGTGGAGATGCTACATCAACCTCTGCTAAGGAAAGAAATAGAAGAAACAAGAGACAACATGGTTGGATGAAGGATTATAGGTTTGGAGAGGGCCTTTTCCTAGAAGAGAATGAAGTTCATTTGTTGATTTCTACAACTAATGATCCAATCCATTTTGAAGAAGCTATTAAAAGTGAGAAGTGAAGGAAAGCAATGGATGTTGAAATGGAAGCAATAGAGAGAAACAACACATGAGAATTGGTTGAATTACCTAAAGGAGCAAAAAAGGTGGGTGTAAAATGGGTTTACAAAACTAAGCTAAATGAAAATAGAGAAGTTGACAAGTATAAGGCAAGATTAGTTGTAAATGGTTATGCTAAAGAATATGGAGTGGACTACACTGAAGTTTTTGCTTTGCCCTTATTGCACGTATGGAAACGGTCAAGCTTATATAGGATGGCCTATCTACCAACTAGATGTGAAGTTTGTATTTTTGTATGGGTGAGTTCCTGATAAACACATTTTATTAAATTGTAAAGTTATAAAGCACAAGCGCCATGATTTGATTATGGTCCGGCCCATCCGGCCTCCGTCACGAGACAATTGTGCAACCCGCAATAACCTCCCCCTTAATAATTGTCCACCAAGAATCGAACTCGTGACCTTGTCTCTGATACCAATTGTTAGGATCAAGCGCTTATCACTTGACCAGAAGTTATAACTATTAGTCAGAGTGCAACTATTTTTACTTAAGAGTAACAACTTAAGCACCACAATTCGATTGTGGTCCGACCCACTTAGTACAATTGATGCTACCTGCAACAAATTGGTCCATAGAGCTTTTCATTAGAAAATCAACAATTTGTTGAGCGATTTTCAATTCGTTGAGCGGATTGTATCAAAATCTCATGTAACTAATTTAACAGTTGTCGCATTTGAAATTGCGACGGGACGACGTAACGATATTTTTAAGATTCAAAAAATAGATTTTTGGAGTCACCACCATAGTTTATTAAGGAAAACGATGGAAAACCATAAAGATAAGACAATGTCTATGAAAATCAGATTTGGGTTCGGAAGTCGGTTACATGTAGGAAAGGTATTAACACCTTACAACGTCCGTCCTAAGACGGTTACCCTTAGTTGAATATGTAAAATTGAATGTCATTTAAAAAAATATATTTATTTCTCCCAAAATCAAAAACACAAAGATGGAAAAAGGAAAAATGGACAAAAATATTTTTTATTTTTGGGGTCCGACAAGAATTTACCTTGCTCCTATGTATTCTCATTTACAATGAGAAATCAGTGTTACATAGTTTTTTGTAGAAAAAGTTTGTATAGTGATCAATGTTTTGAAATTTTTAGTGTTTTTGAAAGAATTTTGTATTTTATTTTGGGTTTTGAGGAAATTTATATTTGTTGTTTTTGTTGTTTTGAAGACACATGGTGACGTGTGCGACCATACCTGGATTTCAAAGATTCATTTAAAATAAAGGACATGATGACGCGAGTGGTCATACCCATAACTCAAGGTTCTATTTTAAAAGGAGGACACGACGATGTAAACGGTTGTACTCGTGACTCAAAAGTTTATTTTTAAAATATGACACATAGTGACGTGTGTGATCACACCCATGTGTAAAGAATTTATTTTGAAAATAAATATTAAAAATTAACACAAGGGTTTAGAGATGTGAGCGATCATAACCACTAGTATTTCGTGAGGGTCGACAGCTCAAATATCCTAAGTCGAAGCGTAGGACCAACAACCGTTAAACCGCAAACACAAAGGCCAACAACCACTAAATTACAAACGCAATGGCCAACAATCGCTAAATCACAAACGCAATGGTCGACAGCCGTTAAATTACAAATGCATACCTTCAATATTCCTCGAAAATACTATACAAAGTTATGAGAAATAGCTAAACATCCATCCATACAATTTAGTTAAACAAATTTACCATCCAAATAGCACAAGTTACAACAATGTCTAGTTGATGAAATCCAACGGTGAAAGAAACCACGAACCAAACTCAATAAAACCTATCTACATTAAGGGAAACCTCGTCAAAAATAAAGGGAAGAAAACAACAGCAACACACAAGCTCTAGCCTATAACCAAACAGAAACAGGAAAAATCATATCAAAACCAAACACTCCTATTCAGCCCCGGACAACCATGATCGAAATATCCCCATTCACACTCAACCCACACCCGAACCGAACCAAAATCAAAACTTATTCACATAGTAACAGCCCCGCATCCAACATGTACATCCTGAACTCAGATCAACTCAACCTTGACTAGGGAAACATGACACCCAACATATACCCCCTGAACTCAAATCAAACCAACCCTAACCAAAGAACAAACATGACCCAATAGGGATCCAGAGTTAATCAACAATTCAATTCATTATGACGACAAAACATTCATCACTATTGAAAGAAGCCAACCCCAAAACCTGCACACATCTATTCAATGGTAACCAAAACCTAATTAACATCTAATAAAACCTTGGTCTGGACCAAGACAAACACGAGACTAACAGAGGCAACCAGAAACAAAATGAATAAGGCAACAGAGCCAATCTAAATAAGAGTAGCAGGACTAGCTATAGTCGATCCAACAGAACCGAACAACAAAAATAAGGAACAATACAGTCTTGATCGAGGTATCGCACAAAAATTTAGACTTGGACAAAACCAAATAAGGCCATAAGAACTCGGACAACACCAAACCAGTCTTAGGACTTAGACAATAACTAGCCAAACCAGTGTAACCAATAGAACC